ATAACACTAAATTTTTTCGTAATAAACAAAAAAAAAATAGTCGCCATGCACGGTCATATAAACGGATATAAACCAAGTGTTTTTGTATTATTGTTTGTGATAAGATTACATTGTCATGTTTACAAAGCGGGAATTGAACGTTTGGGTCTAAACTCTTGGACGTCAAGGATAACACACATACCATCTTTGTGGTTGTTCGGATAAGATTGTATGCATCAGTTTTGGAAATTATTTAGCCAGTTGGACCTTTGTGAGAGATATTCTCTCGACTATATGAACATGGCATGATCGTGAGGTATGTGTGATCATGGAATATTTGGCATCCCATGACCGAGATTGGAGCCTGATTTGTTAGGACTTGATCCATGTTAATTAATACGTCAGATCATACAAAATCGTAGCTGGTGTATACAAAATCATATGTTGCTTTTGAAAAATCATTATATGTGCCTTGAGTCATATATGTTTTGAGTTGTGACATAAATAACTAGCTAGGTCGATTTGCAAAAGTAATTTTTGTACCCAATCAGAATTCATGAAAGCATTATTTTCCATCCAAACAAAAAAAACATTAGTAAAAATCGGAATTTTTTTTTCTAAAAAAGAGAGAAACTTACTATAAACTGTGAGAGAGAAATTGAATCAACGTCCAAGTCACACTTGCTGCAAGAAAAATGCGAAACCAATTAAATCCCGTAAAAAAAGAAAAAAGAAACAGGAGTTAATGTCCTAACTGACACGTGTCCCTACCTTGCCATACACTCACACAATTAAAAAAATTTCTAACTTGTATTTCTTATCCGAAAAATAATCATCTCCAAGTGTAATAATACATATTTTTTTTTTTTAAAAACTAATTTTCTCTTCTTTTTCCTCGCCTATAAATACAGTTCCAAGCTCTCGTCTCCTACACCACAAAAACAAAAACTTCACTTAGAAAACCAAAAAAAAAAAAAACAGAGAGAAAAGACAGAGAAAAAACAAAAAAAAAAAAGAAAAAGGAAAATAAACAAATTCTCTTTTCTTTTTTTTTACCTCTAAAGTTTTCTATTTTGTCTATTCGTGTGTGTGTTTTTTTTTTTTTTTTTACTTCTTGTTCCTGAGATAATGGGAGCTTTCGAAACAGAAAAATCCAGTAAAGATGCGGCGGGTCTTGAGACACAGTCGTCGGAAGATTTCGACCAACCTTCTCCGCTTCGTAAAATCATCTCCGTCGCTTCCATAGCCGCCGGTGTTCAGTTCGGGTGGGCTTTACAGCTCTCTCTTCTCACACCTTACGTACAACTCCTTGGGATCCCTCACAAATGGTCATCTCTCATTTGGCTCTGTGGTCCAGTCTCCGGTATGATTGTTCAACCAATCGTCGGTTTCCACAGTGACCGATGCACCTCAAGATTCGGTCGCCGTCGTCCCTTCATAGCCAGCGGAGCCGCGCTCGTCGCCGTCGCCGTTTTCCTCATCGGTTACGCGGCGGATATTGGTAATAAAATGGGAGATAAGCTCGACCAGAAGATAAAGGTTCGAGCCATTGGAATCTTTGCTCTCGGGTTTTGGATTCTTGACGTGGCTAACAACACCTTACAAGGACCTTGCCGTGCTTTCTTAGCCGATTTAGCCGCCGGTGACGCTAAAAAAACGCGAGTCGCAAACGCGTTTTTCTCCTTTTTTATGGCGGTCGGAAACGTCTTGGGTTACGCTGCTGGATCTTACACTGACCTTCACAAGATGTTTCCGTTCACAATGACCAAAGCTTGCGACATCTACTGCGCCAATCTCAAGACTTGTTTCTTCTTATCCATCACTCTCCTCCTCATCGTCACCGTCACGTCTCTTTGGTACGTTAAAGACAAACAATGGTCACCGCCGCCGAGAAACCCCGACGACGACGAGAATACCTCAAGCGTTCCTTTGTTCGGAGAGATCTTTGGAGCTTTCAAAGTCATGAAACGTCCCATGTGGATGCTTCTAATCGTCACGGCCTTGAACTGGATCGCTTGGTTCCCTTTTCTTTTGTTCGATACTGATTGGATGGGTCGTGAAGTGTACGGAGGAGATTCAGATGGAAACGAGCGGTCGAAGAAACTATACAGCCTTGGAGTCCAGTCTGGTGCAATGGGACTGATGTTTAACTCTATAGTTCTTGGTTTCATGTCACTTGGTGTTGAATGGATTGGTCGGAAACTAGGAGGAGCTAAACGACTTTGGGGGCTTGTGAATTTCATCCTCGCCGCCGGTTTGGCCATGACCGTTCTCGTTACAAAATATGCCGAGGATCACCGGAAAGTCGCCGGTGAATTAGCCGGACCGAGCAGTAGTATTAAAGCTGGAGCTTTAAGTCTCTTTGCTGTTCTTGGTATTCCATTAGCTGTAAGTATAGTACACTTTTGTTTTCTACTCTAATTTTGTTTTTGGTTTTCTTTTTTGGGTTAAAGGTACATATATTAACTGATTCGTTTATTTTATCATTACAGATCACTTTCAGTACACCATTTGCGCTAGCGTCCATCTTTTCAAGCTGCACCGGTGCAGGCCAAGGTAACTATTCTTTTAACTTTATTCAAGTTACAAAATGTATTGGTTTGATTCTTATAACGTGGGACTACTACATAACTTTATCTAATCCGTTCATTTTATTTTATTTTACAGGACTTTCGTTGGGAGTTTTAAATTTGGCGATTGTGATACCACAAATGATAGTATCACTAGGAGGTGGACCTTTCGATGCACTCTTCGGTGGTGGAAACTTACCGGCGTTCATCGTTGGAGCGATTGCTGCAGCGATTAGTGGAGTATTAGCCTTAACCGTTTTACCTTCACCGCCACCGGACGCACCTGCCATGAAGACAGGAGCCATGGGATTCCACTAGCTTTACTATGTTGTCTTTTTTTTTTTTTTTTTATAATGAAACTCATGATCAAATACAGTATTATTGTGCAAAACCCCTAAAAAGAACCAAAAAAAAAGAGAGTGGGATAAAAGTGATAAACTCTAATAAACCAGCTTGGGTAATCTGTATTTCACCCTTCCTTTAGCTTTTTTTTTTACTTTGTTACTGATTTTAAATAGAAGTTGTTTTTCTTTTGTTTGGTCGTCAATAAGTGATGTATGAGACTACAGTTTTTTTTTACTGTTTTGTTTTCGTAAGTAGAAAAAAATGCTTCCATACAAAAACACTGGTAATAATTCATGGCAATTGGCAACACTTTTATACATGGAGAAAAAGATGAATAACTTTATAATTTAGAATGATTGAAGGTAACTAAATTACTTTATCCGCGGTGAAAAAACAGGCAGAGTTATAAACAACAGACTCTCTCTAGCTAGGGGAAAAAATAGCAAGTCTTTTAAGTTACAAGAACAATTCGAACCTAAAAGCTGAAACGGATAGGCTGTGTATGTGAAGTTGTGAAGAGAGGATTGAGATCAGGTCGGGCGAGCAGAAGGGCTATGAGGAAAAGATGGGGTAATTGAATTTTAAGGAGCAAAGACTCCAGTTGAGATAGAGAGTGTCCCCAGATGAGAGCAAAGACTGGCGCAACATAATCGATGAAGGCCTTTGGGCCAGATAGAGTTTTTTGGATACATAAAAAGAAAACAAATATCAATTTGAGGACTTTTCGAGTTGGACCTTGATCAAAACTCAACTTATAGATTAAGGTTTATGAGCCCAGTCTTTTGATAATCACTTTGGGAAAGTTAATTAATACCTCATTATGGTCAAATATCTTGCTTACTTGTAATAAAGGGATTCTATAACCTTTGATTCACTTACCAAATTTGTCTTTCAAGACTCCATTATTTTCTTTCTAACTACAGTATATTTCTTATCCAAAAAAAGTGTCTTCCATAGTCAATAGATTAATAGGCCCTGATTGGTTACTGTTAACAAAATAAACAAATTATGTGTTTTAGAAAAATAACTTTGTACAGCCAAATAAATTGAATAATGAAATATTTTAGCTGTAAATCAAAAAAAAGAAAATATAAAGTTTGTAACATATGATTTATTAGATTTTTGAACTGTATATACAAAATGGTTGTAGACATACTCTAAAGTAACAACCAATCAAGAAAAAAGTTTTGATTTGAATAATTAATTGTTTTATTCATACCTATAAAAAGTAAAGTTTCCATTATTACTAAGAAAAGTTTTCATTGGTAATGCAATATTCGAATTTGGCAAATACCATAAACAATTGTATCAGTCTTGAAGGTGAACCTTTAGACACTCTTCTCGACGGTGAAAACTGAAAACTTGTTTGCTTTGCTAAACAAGGAAGATCCAAATAGAGAGGTTATGACATTCTTTTGTTTTTTTTTTATAGATGAGGATAAAGCCGAATAACTTTTTTTTTTTGGTAGTGTAAAGCTGAATAACTTTGACTTAATAGACTAATAGTTAATGTGTATTGACAAATTTCATATCTTTTTTTTTGGTAAAGTTGAAAAAAATAATTTAAAGTAAGTAATATTAAACAATAAAAACCATAATTAGTCTGTATAAACCATTATTACTAAGAAAAATTTTCCTTGGTAATGTAATATTCTAATTTTGCAAATACCATAAACGATTGTATCAGTCTTGAAGGTGAACCTTGCGACACTCTTCTCGACGGTGAAAACTTGTTTGCTTTGCTAAACAAGAAAGATCCAAATATAGAGGTTATGACATTCTTTTATATTTTCTTTTATAGATGAGGATAAAGCTGAAACTTTGACTTAATAGTTAATGTGTATTGACAAATTTCATATCTTTTTTTTTAGGTAAAGTTGAAAAAATTAATTTAAAGTAAGTAATATTAAACAATAAAAACCATAATTAGTCTGTATAAACAAGCTAGTTTAGTAGTCAACCTGACAATAACACAGCAGATACGAAAAATACAAAGCAGAAATCAATGTCCTAAACAGCCACGTGTCTTTACCCTTGGCCTATAAATTACAACTTAAAATCTCTCATTTCCTACCTCACAAAACTAAAAATCTCACTTTTCTAAAAACGTTACAAGAAAAAAAAAACAAAAGGAAAATAAAATTTTCTTTTTTTTTCCTCTAAAACCTTGGAGTTTTTGTCTGGACGTGTTTTTTCATAATGGGAGGAGAGTACGGAGCAGTCAGAGCCGCCAACGCTGCGGCGGCGTTAGAGATACAGTCGTCCTCCGAAGATCCCGATCAACCATCTCCACTTCGAAAAATCGTCTCCGTCGCTTCCATCGCCGCCGGAATACAGTTCGGTTGGGCCTTACAGCTCTCTCTTTTGACTCCTTACGTGCAACTCCTTGGGATCCCTCACAAGTGGTCGGCTTACATGTGGCTCTGCGGTCCAATCTCCGGTATTCTTGTTCAACCAATCGTCGGTTACTACAGTGACCGTTCCGAGTCGAGATTTGGTCGTCGTCGTCCGTTCATCGCCGTCGGAGCCGTGCTCGTAGCTCTCTCCGTTTTCTTTATCGGGTTCGCGGCGGATCTTGGACATAAATTGGGAGATCCAATAGGGGAGAAGGTAAAGACCCGAGCCATTATTATCTTCACTGTCGGGTTTTGGATCCTTGACGTGGCGAACAACACTTTACAAGGACCATGCCGTGCTTTCTTAGGCGATCTAGCCGCTGGTGACGCCAAAAGAACGCGTCTCGCCAACGCGTGTTTCTCGTTTTTTATGGCGGTCGGGAACGTTTTAGGTTACGCTGCTGGATCTTACACCAACATTCACAAGATGTTTCCGTTCACAGTGACCAAAGCTTGCGACACCTACTGCGCCAATCTCAAGAGCTGTTTCTTCGTATCCATCACTCTCCTCCTCCTCGTCACCTTCTCGTCTCTATGGTACGTTAAAGAAAAACAATGGTCTAAGCCACCGCAGGCAGACGACAATAAAAAGTCAGGTCTTTTTTTCTTTCGAGAAATATTTGGAGCTCTCAAAGTCATGGAACGTCCCATGTGGATGCTTCTGATCGTCACGGCTATCAACTGGATCGCTTGGTTCCCTTTTATTTTGTATGATACGGATTGGATGGGTCGTGAAGTGTTCGGTGGTAACTCAAACGGGAATGAACGGTTGAAGGATCTTTATAACCAAGGAGTTCACAGTGGTGCTTTGGGTTTGATGTTTAATTCTATACTTCTTGGTTTCGTCTCGCTTGGTGTTGAATGGATTGGTCGGAAAATGGGAGGAGCCAAACGTCTTTGGGGTTTGGTGAATTTCATCCTCGCCATTGCTTTGGCCATGACGGTTCTCGTTACGAAATCAGCCGAACATCACCGGAAAATCGCCGGTCCTTTAGCCGGACCTACCCCTGCTATTAGAGCTGGAGCGTTAAGTCTCTTTACCGTTCTTGGTATACCATTAGCTGTAAGTGCACTTTTGTTTTGTCATTTTTTTTGGTTTTTGTCTTTTTTTCTTCAAAAAGTTTTAAAAAGTTCTTAATCTTTATTGGTACAGATTACATTCAGTGTTCCATTTGCACTAGCGTCCATATTCTCTAACAGCTCCGGTGCAGGCCAAGGTAAATAATTTTATCTTTTTTCTAATTTGAGTTACGAATCTTAGGGTCTGATTCTGATGATGTTAGGCCAGAAATGTTATCATAGCCTTTAGGTGAGTTCAAACGTTTGATTCTGAATAGATTTACTGACTAAGTGATAGATTATGTTTCCATTTTCATGCATATCTAATCAAAAAGTAAATATTTCCTCAGTTGCATAGAAAAAAACAAAAGGAAATATATATTTCCTCAATTGTAACTTTCTTTTTTCTTTTCTTCAAAATCTATTTTCTTCTTTTGTGGATAAAAGTCTACAAATTTATCCATAGCATTTACTAGGATGAGATTTATTAGCTTAAATAGTAGTAGTAAGTTTTATATCTTTCCGTTGATCATCAACATGCAAATTTTTCCCCATAAATGTTTCTAACTAAAAACAGTTTAATTTCTGCAGTAACATAAATGACAGAAAACGTTACTTTTTTTTATTATTATTTCAGGACTTTCATTAGGAGTTTTGAATATAGCGATTGTGATACCACAAATGATAGTATCATTTTTAAGTGGACCTTTCGACGCACAATTCGGCGGTGGGAATTTACCGGCATTCGTGGTCGGAGCAATTGCGGCAGCGATAAGTGCAGTATTAGCGTTAACTGTTATACCTTCACTGCCTCCGGATGCACCAATGCAGTCAGGGGCTATGGGGTTCCATTAGTTTACTGTTTTCTTTAAGAAGAAAAAAAATTCCCATTTAGATATAATAGTTTTGTGCAAAACAGAATGAAGAACCTATAAATGAATGGGTGGAGTGAGATAATGTAATAAACCTCTTTGGATCGTCTGTATTTCATATTTCCTTTGGTTTTTTCTTTAAAAATATTTTACTGTGTATTGAAAAAATATTTATATTTGATTGTGTTTTTTTATTTTACTTTTTATATAAAGTGGATTTTTTTTTCTTCTTTTGTTTGACCGCCAATAAATACTGGGGGGGGGGGGGGGTGTATTCAAATTATGATTTGGAAGGATTTTGTGGAACTCATGATATTTTGGATTTTAGGAGATTTAAGTGGGGTTTTAAGGTATTTTGGTGGATTTGTTATAGTTTTCCATTTTAAAAAAGAAAAAATAGTTTGAGATTTGATGAGATTTGGTGAGATTTGAAAAAAGAATTTTGGGGATTTTAAAAGAGATTCTCATGTTAAAAATAAAAGTCTCGTATACATACTCAAATAAAAGTCTTCGACGATATTATTCTAACTCCGGGTTGCTATTTTCTTCTTCTGTTACTTTTGCTACAGACCTAGGATTTGAGCTACCAATGGTGTTCTGAAAACTTGAGGTCGAGATCTTTCCAATGATATAAAGATCTCTGTCTGAGTCCTTGTGGTTTTTGTTGGAGTATAATCACATCTCGTCACATAAGTTAGTTACTTGTTCAAGAGACACAAGTTGTCTTGTTCTAAACAGTTGTGTCTTTTAGATTAAGAGTTGTGTCTCTTCCTTAGATAGACACAATTGTTCACTTGTTATAAATAGAGAATGTGTCTTTGTTTCTGTAACACAACACAATTCAGTTTGTAATACAATCAAGTCAATAAAGGTTTTATTACATTCATACTCTGTTTTTCACCATCGTAACACAAATCTCAGATTCTTAACATGGTATCAGAGCTTTACGATTGAGAGGACAATAGAGAGCACTAAAAGAGAGAAAAAAAAAGCAAACAAGTTTCACTATAATAAAAATTCAGTTTCTGTTCTTGTCTCTTACTCTATTTTTGCAAACTGCCGTGACGGATCAAATCTTCTCACGAATTGCAGCAGCCTCAACATCAAAAGAGGCATGGGATGCGTTGAAGGCTGAGTACCAAGGTTCTCCTCAAGTCCGTTTGATCAAACTTCAAACGTTGAGAAGGGAGTACGAAAATCTGAAAATGTATGATAACGAAGACATCAAGACTTTTACCGATAAGTTAATTGGTTTGGAAAATCAATTAACTTATCATGGGGAAAAGAAATCAGACCTTCAACTTGTACAGAAGATAATCATCTCTCTCCCAGCCAAGTTCGATAGTATTGTTAGTGTTTTAGAGCAAACTAGCGATTTGACTTCAACAACAATGTCAGAGCTAATCGGTATTTTGAAAGCTCACGAAGCAAGAGTATCTGCAAGAGAGGAAAACACAAATGAGGGAGCATTTTATGTTCGTTCAAAAGGAAAGCAATCCGGTGTCAAACAAGACAACACAAAAGGCCGTGGAAATCAAGGCAAGAAGTGGTGTGGGTTTTGCAAGAGAAGCAACCACACAGAAGAAGAGTGTTGGACGAAACCGAAGAAAGACGATCATGAAAAAAATCAGAAAAGTAACAAGGAGTGTTACAAGTGTGGTAAGATCGGCCACTTCGCAAATGTGTGTCGCTCAAAGAATAAAGAGAGAGCACATGTAAGTCTCGAAGAAGAAGAAGAAGACTTAAATGAAGATCATATGCTGTTTAGTGCAAGTGAGGAATCAACAACAACGTTAGGAGCAGACGTGTGGTTGGTAGACAGTGGCTGCACGAACCATATGACGAAAGAAGAAAGATACTTCTCTCACATCGATAGAAGTATCAAGGTTCCGATTAAAGTCGGGAACGGAGATATAGTCATG